AGAGAGAGAGAGAGATTAGCAGCACAAACAGTAACCAACCTGCAATCGAATCACAAACTCCTCCTCTTTATCTACATAGAAGTCATTGAATTTGTCCAATTCTTCATCCAAGAGCTTAACAAACCAATCTTCTTGAATAGCCCATGGCCGACCACCATTTTCTCCAATCTCTGCAACAATTCTAGAAGGATAAACACACTGAAAGCCACCATTAACTGATTCAGACGACCCAATTCTGCGATCACCAAGACCAACAATCTCACGATTTGCCCCAAAATCATCCGCCCTACTATGAACTTCACCAGCTGAAGCCTGCTTCAAAAGCTTCTTCAATGGCTTATATGACAGGAACTTATCTCTCCATTCTGGAATGGTTTCTTCTAAGTGGGTTTTGAATTCCTTGCCAAATTTCATGATTCAGAAAGAAAACTAAAAATATGAAAGGAGAACAATTCTCAAATCGAAGAAACCTAAAATCCGCCCCCCCCCCTCCCAAAAAAAAAACCACTTATTCTATAAGGAATGATAACAATTACCCCTTTCTTTAGAAGGATTGATATTAAAATTCACCAATATTGAGCACCCAGAGGGAAAGGGCATGAATGCACAGCAAAAAATGCAGAGAAACCCACAACTAATATCCTTTCCCTAACAAAAGAACAACAAAAACTTCACAGAGATAACGGTGAAAAGTTGAGATTTTACGAGGAAACAGATAAACTAAAGAAAATAAGAATGATGAAAACATAAGTAGGAGGAAAGCAGCACTAGAACCTTGAATTTTCAGCAGAAGACTCTTATATACTGCACGTTTCTTACAAAGAATTTAGGCTACTCCATGGAAACTAAGAAATTTATAGAGCAATAGCTACGCAGATACAAGAATTCAAGTCCCAATACCAAGCACTGAAAACGCTAATTTTTGAAGAAAAAAAACCCAAGAATCAGAAGATTCAGAACAAGCTGCACAAGCTCCATTTTTTAGGTGTCTAGGAAGAAGGTATTTGGATTAGCTGTCTTAAATAGAGGCCTTAGATAATTACTAAAACGTCTAAACAATTTGTGTAAATGACATGAACATCCCTTATTTTTGTACGGGTACTTAGGCGATGGTAGGGGTGGCGACGGCTTGGGTACCGGTCGGGTCAAGTTGGACCCGGAGCAGTCCCAAATAGTAATCGGTTCCCGGTTTTGGATCGGGACCTGACCTTTTGGATTCAAATTTTGGCCCATACTTGGACCCATCAGATCCCGGGTCTAATCAGATCCATTGTTGGCTGTGAGCTTCTTCTTTTTTGCCTTTTTTTTTCTTCAGGTCCCGGACTCGAACACGATGCAGGTCACTTTGGGTCTAAAATTTTGACCTATACTTGAACCCGAGGTCAGGTTTACTCGTTGGATCCTGGGTCTGGTCAGGTCCATTGCCACCCATAAAGGTCGTCTGAATTTAAAAACTTCCATCAAGAGTGACTCTTACATGGAAAAAAATATATATAATTTGATCCATTGGATCTTGATGACAAGAGGATCATGTGGATCATCGCCATCCAATGAACCAATTACATGGGGAGAGTCGTAAAACGTCAGTTTAAAATTTGACTTTTTTATATCAATTTGAAAATAATTAATTTCTAAAAAGTCCATTTTAAAATGTTTTTTTCTTTTTTTTTGGGCGAGGGGGAGGGAAGCTTTATATGTGACCCCGATCTCATATAAATGATATGTGACTCCACTTTTCAGTTGTTCGATCTAAATTGACGGCTAGGAATACTCATGCCATAATGTCACACAAAAATCCACCATGGTCTTTAATTTTTTTCTTCAAAACATTTTTGACTGAAATTTGGGCTTCCCATCTCCTTCTTGAGAGCACTTAGGAAGAAAAAAGAAAAAAAAAAGGAAAAAAATCTCTATATACCCTATATTTAGGTTTTATTTCTCAATATATCCAAGATTTCAAAACATATCAAGCGGCATAAAGATCTCATGTATTACATCTTCTAACCTCCTGGACCAACTTCACTCCATCTTTTTAGCCCTAACAAAAGTTCAAAAAACATCATTTTTTTTTATTTTTTTATAAAAAGATTAATGAATGTAAAAAATAGTTTATGGAAATATTTTTTCAAAAAAAGAAAAAATTATTTATAAAAATAAATAACCAAAATACCTCTGATAGTTTTAGGGGTCTTATGTAATAGAAAATATTTTTTATTACTTTTATCATGTGCATCTGTTAAATGTATACATTCCCCAAATTTCATTGGAAAATGCTTTATAAAACAAAGATTAAAAATAAAACTATCTAAGCTATCGGATCAAGATTGTGACTCAAGCCATCTCAGTCATCTACTGGGATTTAATGGTCCTATTGTGTGTGTGGGTGGGGTCACATGAAAAGCCTCTTTTTTTCTTTTTTTTTTGGTAGTTTAATTTGGGAGAGGCCAAATCATTTTGCAAAGTAATCAAAGGATATAATGAAAATGATATCATGATATAGATGCCCATCACACGATTCGGTTTAGACTTAGTAAATGATGTTTTTGCCCCTTCTTACCTGCATTGGGGTTAGGGTTGGCAATGGGTGGGGTAGCCTGGCCTAGTTGGCTGAGCCCTTAAAAAGTAGGGTTGGAGCCATTTATTTTTAACTTTGTTTTTGGCCCGATCTGGGCCGGCCAGTCCCAGCCATCCTTAAATGGGATCTCATGGGCGTGAGATGTGAAAGTATAAAATGGATGTGCTCATGAACTTAGAGAAGTGATTGTGCATTATAATCACATTTATTTTTGGTAGGAAGAAGTACACTCTTTTCTTTTTTTTTTAATTGTCAACTATGAAATTTGATAACTTAGGATGTGCTATAAAATTTCTAAAAAAAAAAAAGATTGAAATTTTAAGCCCAGTCAATGGCCCACCTCTATGTTACATCTAACTACGGTTGATGACGGTCACTTCCTTATATCCAAGTTAAATATCTTACTGTATTATTTTCTTACAAAATAAAATATATAAGGATGAGGTTTCTATGAGTCAGCTAACTCATATCTACATGTGCGGCCCCCTCTAAAGTTCACCTTAAAGATAGATTTTTCATCTAAAATTTTAGAGATTCTCATCTAAGCCAAGCAGATAATAAATATGATTTTTTAAAAACTTTAAAATGTCTTTTTTTGGGGGATTTTTTTTGCTCCATCCATATTTGATTTGACCTTGTGCATTTTACACAATGTCCATCTTAAAGATGGACATTGGAGAGTAAGCCCGCTGAATCGTGGAACATTTTTCCAATATATAATATTGAATATTTATCTATAGTACAAGAATCCTGATATTTTATTTATAATACAAGAATGATCATTATGAATTTTGATACCGTACTTTTGATAGATTAAGTTAATAATCCAGAAAAATTGAGGTAGATGTCGCACGTAAAATTAGAGTTGAGTAGGCAAAATAGAAATGTATGGAATTTTATGTGATTGCCGCATACCAATGAGGCTGAAGGGCAATTCCTATAGGACAACAGTGAGATCGGGTTTATTCTATAGGGTGGAATGTTGGGTGGATAAAAAACAATATACCTATAGAATGAGTATATTGGAGATGATGATGTTGAGATAGATGAATAGCAAGACAATAAGGGATATAATTTAAAATGGATCTATTCAAGATAATTTAGACGTGACCCTAATAGGCGATAAAATGTGAGAGAGTAGACTTCGGTGGGCTGGCCATACGTGGTACTGACCAAGTACAATACCTATTAAGAAGTGCGAGTTAGTTCAAGTGGATATACTGAAAATAGCACGGGGGAGGCCCAAAAGGATGTGGTTTGAAGTAGTCGGATAATATATAGGGACCTATAGCCTCATTGAGGATATGATCTGTAATATAGCAGAATGGAGAACCATGATTCATGTTGTCAACTCCAATTAATTGGAAAAAGCTAAAATGATGATGCTGATTTTATAGTACAATAATGTTACAATTACTATTTTGGGTAAAATATACGCTTAGATGATGTTAGGCCACGGGTTATAAATAGGTTGGTTCAATCCGGATCAAGAAATGGGCCCAGTTAGGTCATGATCGACCTTGACCCCAACCTGACCCAACTGCATCCCAAATAGACTCAGGCTTGGCATGAGTCCAGGCCATTGCACCCTTAAACAATCTTATTAAGGCGCGCCTCCAAATTTTATCATAACATGTAATTTTCATGTAAAAAATTCTTAGGATTATCCAAAAATCTAATTTTATCTCTTATTATAAAATTTTAAACTAAAAATATAGTTAAAATCAAGTAGATCTATAAACACATAAAACTCTTGAAAATGGACTGTCTCGATAATGTGTTGTAAGATGCACTATTTCTAAGACTTAAAATGTTTTTTTTTCATATTCATACATCTTGATATCGAGATTATCAATTGGAGGGTTTTTCAACATTAAAACAATATTTTCTGATGAATTTTTGAGGTGCATATGTAATTCTACATTTTAAGGTTGCAACCTTATATAAATTTTTTCCACACACACACACACATAGACATACACATACACATACACACACACACACACACACACACATATATATATATATGAAAAACTCTTAAAAACACTTATAGGCGATTTTGAACAGTGTTTTGCCTCACCACGGACATGTTATATCTGTGGCAGTTTATTGAACGGAGCCGCAATAGACCCACGTGGTCCGTGATGGTTTTCGCGTATTTTTTGACTGCGTCCGTTGTGGTCTTTTAATCCACACCATCTGAAAAAATCGGACGGTGCCGAGCCTATAGGCAAAAACACCATTCATATTTGCCCATAGGCATTGCATAGTGGCTTCTTTTATATATATATATATATGAGAAGGGGCTTCATGCAACTATCTCCCACGCACCCCCCTTGACCAAAGACCTGATCCGACCCAATAAGTTCCAGGATGGAGCTGGATCCAAATTTAATGGGCTCGAAGTTTAAAAGTTACTTCTTTGAAAAGTTTATAAAACCTACTTTTGACTGCCGAATTTCACCTGTGAAAATATGATAACTAAGAGTGATGGTGACTTTTTTATACTAAAGTTTATATGCACTCCGGTGAATTTATGCTTATGTGAGTTTCTAGACAAAGAGAGGGACACGATGTTCTATCTATTGTCACAAATTCTAAATGAGTACTTGAAAATGCTCCACCCCTTCATCAAATTGCTTGCTAAAGCTGTCCGAGTACATGAGAATATTTGAATTCAATGAAAATCTCTACGCGTTTTGGTTCCATGAGAACATTTTGTAGCTTCAAAGCATATGAAATGGTTTTTTTTTTTTTAATGTAAAGCACATGGTCAAATATGGTCCAAAGTTGTTATATTCACTTTGGAGTTTTTTTTGGTTAGGTGAGAAAAGTGAAGCAACTAAGTGATTAGGTTGATTCTGGGAAAGACTTTGAAATTCTTAAAAAAAAAAAATATAAATAAATTAGATATTTATATATAAAAATTTATAAAAATAATAAAAATTAAAAAAAACACACTTTTTACATAGATGTTTATTTACTTAGGCCGAATCAACCCGAAACATACCCGAATGTAACCAAAGAAGCCCAAAGCTTGATCTGTCTGCATTAGGTGCATTATGCCACATGATTGAGTGGAACTTGCATTTGTATATAATAGGTCATAGATTCCTAGATATAAAAGAATGTTAGATTTTTTTTATTAGATGGATAAGGACGGACATTTTGCAAGGGATCTATTGTCTTTGTTCAAACTTATTCTCTATTTTTTGTGAACGTTTTTTTTTAACTTATTCTCTATTATGGGGATCGTAAACATTCAATGCCGATAAGATCGAGGAAATGCGTATATATTATAACGGCCTGCCGGGGGGGTTCATGGAATCCGGACTGGACTTTGGTTATACTTTAATAATGGGATTTTTTAATTTTTTTATGGAAGATAGGTTATTTAATTTTC